TTTTTTTTTTTTTTTTTTTTTTTTTTTTTTTTTTAGGTAACTCTCAAACATTATAAAGGAAACTTCAGTTAAGTGCTAAAGATAAACCTCTTTCATATCATAAAAGAGGCTGAAAAGGCAAAACAAATCTATTTTTGTAAGAAATGTTTACTGTTACTAATGGACTTCAAAAAAGTCAAAAAACAAAGATGATAAAACAAGCCCTCCCAACTAATTAGCAAGTATTTTGATCATCCTTTTAAAATGAATATGCAAAGCATGCATACTCAAACTGGAAACTGATTTAATAATATAATTTTAATTATTTTTCTCTAAATGTTTTTATCAACAGGCACTATATCCTTGATTATCTGAACTGACTCTGGTTTTAAAACCCTCTTCATACATTATTTATTTAGCACCAGACATTGATACCATAGAATGTTCTGGATTTTTTATGCTATATTCCTCATTTTCAAATGATATTTCTTTTTAAACAACTTGCACTTAGTTTTAGCTCTGACACTGAGACAGGGCAGAACTAGACACCCTGTATTTTCACAGGACTGTACTCTGGATTGGGTGAAGTGGTGGGAGTCAGCAGATAGGGCGGCGTGTGTCAATACTGGCCAGATACATAAAAAGCCAAAACAGAAAAGGAGGAAAGGAGGACTCTCCTGCCAGTGCAGCTATGAATATTGTAGAGAACTGTTGTAAGAAACTGCATTTCTCTTTTAAGTGCAATTAACTTTTCCTGTGAATTTTTAAACCAGATGGATACACATTTTCAATAACAACAATACAGTACAATACTTTACTTACCCTTTACAAAAATGTGAGAAGGCAGCTTGAAGAGAGCCTGTTCATGTATGTATTCAAAATAAGGACTCAGCCCAAAACCCAGTCTGAGAAGGTAGGTTGTGTCCTAGGTATTCGCATAAAGGGAAAGACTGGAAGGCAATAAACTGTGTCCCTAATATGTCCCCTCTGTGGGGAAAAGTGGGGAGATCTACAAGAAAACTCATGTAGCTCTGGATCTTTTGGCACTATTTCCCATCTTGTCCACCACCACATCTCATCACTTCCTGCAGAGTCCTCCCAAATCCTACAGGCTGCGCAGTGAAAACACTGGAGCCATCCCGTTCTGTATGTTTGTATTCAGCAAGAATTGACCCCTTACCATATTAAAACATTTAAAAAAAGTCACAGAACACCTCTATGGAAAGTAATTTACAACATCTATGAACAATAGAGAACGTCACAGCTAATGATCAGTGGTCAAGTTTAAAGTTTTAAGCAACGCACAAAGCTAGTAGGGGTGTGTGAAACAGGCTGTATTCAATTCAGATTCAGCTGAATTGGGGACAGTGATTTGATTCCTTGATTCGGATCACTGTCCCTGATTTGATTCAGTTGAATCTGAAGATTCAATGCTGATTCAGAGAATCAGTGAT